TTGTTTTGTTTTGTTTTGTTTTGTTTTGTTTTGTTTTGTTTTGTTTTTTGTTCCTGGCTGTCCTGGAACTCACTCTGTAAACCAGGCTGGCCTCGAACTCAGAAATCTGCCTGCCTCTGCCTCCCAAGTGCTGGGATTAAAGGCGTGTGCCACTGCTTGGCCAAAATAACTGCAATTTATTTATTTATTTATTTATTTATTTATTTGGTAGGGTAGGGCTAAAGCAGAACTTTTTGTCATTCAGTAAAACATTTAATCATAAAACAACAAATGGTTGATGAAGCAATTGAAATCAGTTTGAAACTAAGTAGGCTGAGCATTAGTGCTACATTCGAGAGTTCAAGGCTAGCCTGGTCTACAGAGTGAGTTCCAGGACAGCCAGGGCTACACAGAGAAACCCTGTCTCGAAAAACCAAACCAAAAAAAAAAAAAAAGAAAAGAAATTGTATTTATTTTCTATTACATTAAATAATTTGAAGAGTATTGGTATTATTTCTTCTCTGAAGGTCTGATAGAATTTTGTCCTGAATCCATCTAGGTCCGAGCTTTTTTTATTTGGGAGGTTTTGAGTTTTTTATTTGAGAGGTTTTGTGTTTATCTCATTGGATGTTTTTGGTCTATTTAAATTATTAATTTCATCTTGATTTAGCTTTTGTAGATCATACATATCTAGAAATTCATTCATTTCTTTTAAAAATTTCCAGTTTTGTGAAATATAACATTTTTTAGGATGTCCTTATGATTCTCTGAATTTCTTCAATGCCTCTTGTAATATCTCCCTTTTACTCCTAATTTTATTAATTTGGATTTGTACTCTCTTTTATTTGGATAAGGGTCTCTCAATAGCTACTCTTTTTTCAAGAAAGAACTCATCATTTATTTGATCTTTTTATATTATTTTTCTTCATTTCTATGTCATTCATTTCAGTCCGGAGTTTGATTATCTCTTCCCATTTGCTTTCTTGGGAGTTGTTTGTTCTTATTTTTTCAAGGCTTCCAAGTGTGTTCTTAAATTATGAATTTGAGATCTCCCATGTTATTGACGCAGGCACTAAGTGATGTAATCTTCCCTTTGTTGTATTTCACATGTTGTGTTTTCATCTTCATTCGACTCTAGGAATTTCTAAAGTTTTCTTATTGATTTCCACATTGACCCAATTACCATTCATAAGTTTGGTGCTTAGTTTCCATGAGTTTGTATACTTTGTGTTATTTCTATGATGTTGATATCCAGATTTATTCCATTAAGACCAGAAAGAATATAGTATGTTATTTCAATTTTCCTCTATTTGTTTTGATTTTCTTTGTCTTAATATGTGATTAATTTTGGAGAAAGTTCCATGAGCTGTTGAGAAGAAATTCTTTAATGTTCATGTGGAATTTTCAGTAGATATTTATTAGGTCCATTTGATTTATAACATTAGTTTAGCTCGAATTTCTCTGTTTAGCATTTTGTTTGTTTATTGGTGAGAGTATAAATCACTCACTAGTATCACTGTGTGGTAGTCAATCTGTGATTTTATATTGAACAGTGTTTCTTTTATGAAATTGGGTACCGCTGTGTTTGGTGCACATATGTTTATAATTTTATTTTGAGACATGATGTTGCTATGAAGCCCTGGCTAGTTTGTAACTCACTGTATAGCCCTGGCTGACCTACAACTCATGATGATGCTTTTGCCTTCGGCTCCAGAGAGCTGAAATTATAGATATGAGCCCCCAGAATTATCTGTCTGTCTGTTTATTTGCTTGTTTGTTTTTCAGACAAGGTCTTTTGTAGTCCAGGCTGGCCTCATGCAGCCAAGTATCACCCTGAACTCCTGACTGTCTCACCTCCACAACCTAAATGCTGGAATTAGAGGTCTGCACCCCTACTTCTGCTTCCCATATTTTATTTCAATCCTTTAAATTGAAACAACCTGTTTGCAGTTGCTGAAAAAAATCTGTATTTAGAAAAATTCATTTATTTTTATTTTATGTGTACATGCAACACATGTGTACCTGGTGTGAGAGAACAGAAGACAGTGTTATATCCCTTGGAACTGGAGTTACAGGTGCCTGAGAACTACCATGTCGGTGCTGGGACACAAACCCAGGCGCTCTGCAAGAGCACTAACCACTCTTATGGCTCCTGCCTCAATCTCCAAGTGCTGTGATCACAGTCATGAGCACTGGCAAGAGCAACAAGTATTCCTAACCGCTGCACTACCTCTCCAGCCCTGACAATCCTCTACTTTTTGTATTTTGGGAACTGAACCCAGGCACTTGTAATCAAGCCCTTTACTACATCCCCAACATTTCTCTCTTAATGAAAATCTTCTTGATCTAAATGCAGATAAACAGTAGTACAGAAAAGGGACCTTTATCCATTTTTGTTCATCTCAACAAACAATGTAAATTTGTCTTAACTGCTTTTCACTAAAAAGAGTAATTGTGCCTGTTTTAAATTTTAATATCATTCCTATTAACAAAACTCAAAACTGTACTGCAGACAACAAAAACAATTTAGCTTTTTTTTTTAAGTTAGAAAATAGCTCCTGGCATATTCTAGAAGGACCACTGAGACTTATTCTCATGGCAAACTCAGATTCTAGTTTTGTATGATCTAGCCTAGAAGACGTGAGATTTCTTAAAGATATGGCAATCAAGATTTCAGGATATTCTAATATAAGGGACTAGAATGCATTAGGGCTCTGTCAGATACTAGGAATCTGTTGTCATGGGGAATAAAATGAATAAAAGTCTAAACTTAGCCTTGCTGTTTGGAAACTCAAATTAAAAACTAGCTCCACAAAATGTATGACTTCAATATCAACATCAGTAACATCCACTACCATATACAGAGATAAATCCTTGCAAAATCTTAATTTTAGATGTTACTACTTTCCTTTGACACAGCCATCTGCTCCTCCCTGCCCATGCTATGTCAGAAACCTCTTTCTCCTTCTTTCTGCAGCACATCTAGCTTTGGAAGCCTCTCTGCTTCCTCAGAGTATCTTGTCTAGGTCATGCAGGAATGGAAGTTCTTCGGCTCTAAAGGGTAGCCATGTAGACATATGTCACAGCATTGTTTTAGAGATGTCACACACAGCACTGCAAACCAGGCACAATTACCTCTGTGCAGATTACTGCAAAAGCCACTTGTACCAAGGTGCATCAGGTCAATTTTAGCTCCATCTGTGTTTGGGTAATAAAGAAAACTTGGCAGAGGAAAAAGACAGGGATAAAATCATGCCCATTTAAATTTTTAACAAGAAACGTTTGTTTCTACATGTTCTTATTATTTCTATTTAATAAAATCTATTTTTCTCATTTTCTTACAAAACTGTAACTTTCCTGAAGTAGCATTATTAACAAACAATACTCTTCCAGCTAGAAGCCTCCAGACATCAAATTGTCATACATCCAATCCCCTTGCCTTTGGCACAGGCATTTCTACTTTGTATATGTACCTGGCGTTGGTTTGGTTTTCTGAGGCAGGGTCTCACTTTGCTGCTCAGGGCAGGCCTGCCTCAAGCTCATGGTGCTCCTCCTGCCTTAAGCCTCCACATTGCTGGGAAAACAGGCATAAGCCATCACACCCAGATGTATCTGACTTTTGAAGGCACCTTATCTTTTCAGAGTATTTCCTTTCTCAAGAATTCATAATTTTGAATTTCCTTACTATACTATACTTTACTGTATATTTATTTTTTAAAGAGTAAAAATTCTCATGAGATTAGGGTTTTATATACTTGGACTTTGGAAAATTAAAATTAAAATTTGTAGCTAAAGAAGTTGAACTAAGCGTAGAAAAATGTACTGTGGCTAAGAGTAATGGAACTCATTCACGCTTGACTGAGAGCAATCCTGTTTTGGAAGGAGTATAAACAGGAACCTGGGACTGGGAGGAAATGAGTAACCTCACCCCTGGACAAAGAATAGTCAGTACAAAGAACTGCTGCCTGGTATTATAGGCAGAATTCTCTCTCAAAGTTAAAAAGCAGAATAATGGCATAAAGCAGACTCTTCTACAGTAGGGTTTACTTGAAATAACCCACCTTACAGAATTTTCAGCTTTCCTAGATCTCTTATTAAGATACAAAAAAGTATTTCCTTAACTTTAGTGGCTGGAAACCCTAGACTTTCTGACAGGTACTATATCAGTCAAGTGTTCAGCCTGTGTCTTAATTAGAGACTATAAAAAAAAAAAGGTTAAAAATGTTCTATCTTACCTCCATGATGGGATTGGAGGCCAAGACCTTTTCTTCAACATTGGCCTCACTGGCAGAGCCACTTACTGTTGCAAAGTACCGCATGGCATATTTAGCTGAGACCGTCTTCCCTGCGCCTGACTCTCCACTTACAATGATGGACTGATTTCGTTCATCCCTGTAAAGCAAATCAAAGCGACTGTCATTGCATCCACTTCTGGACATGATCACTTTTGCACATTTTTCCCTAATGAGGCAGAGTGTGGAAGCAAAGCGGAAGAATGACTACTTATAAACAGGACAGAGAGAAAGAACATACCATTAACTTAGAGAGAATCATGTTACTAAGGACAACTCTGTATTACTGGCATTCTGAATGTTCTGTGTGCATCTCAAACACAGTATTTTATTCATTTGCATTAGTATTTTATAATACTGTTGTCAGCTACCACAGAAGAAAAGGGGAATATTCTTTGGCTCCACAGCAAAAGAATTTAGGGAAAAATGTGCTTTTTTAAATTTTTATAAAAATCATTTGAAATATTTCAAATTGTCCATCTGTTAATAATTATGAAGCAGCATCTCCCATAATCTACTGTTTGATGTTGGCTAATTTCACTTTAAAAAAACATTACTCCACAATTGAAACTTTTCTCTCCTTCTCTTCCTCCTCCTCCCCTCTCCCGCCTCCTCTTTTTTTTTTTTTTTTGAGACAGGGATTCTCTATGTATTCCTAGCTGTCCTGATCCACCAGCTTCTTCCTCCAGAGAGCTGGGATTAAAGGCATACAACAGAATCAGGTTGGGGGAGGACCGAGGGAGAGAGTGGTGGGAGAGACAGCTGGAGGCGGGGGTGGAGGTGGGGGGTGGATTTCAGGGTGAGATAAAAACCTAGTGTAGTGGAAATGCCCAGAAACCTATAAGGGTGACCCTAGGGAAAACTCCTAGTAACGGGGGATAGGGAGTCTGAACCAGCTATCTTCTGTAACCAGGCAAGACTTCCAGTGGAGTGATTAGGATACCAAACCTTCAACCTATAATGTATCCTTCCTGTAGGTGGAAGGAGAGAACTGAGTGGGAGAGGGGATGAAGAAGAGAATGGGGGTGGTTAGGACCAGGTATAGGGAGGAACAGGAGGCATGGCCAAACGGCCATGAGAATGAATAGAAACCTGCAACAGAGTTGGGGAGGTAGGAGCATCACCAGGAAGAGACAGAGACCTGGGATAAGATGCTTAAGACTCAATGGGAGTGTCAGCTAGGACTCACAACACTGGAGATATGGAACCTGAAGAGGCCTCCGGTAGCCAGTTAGAAACTCTTTCAACCCCAAATTTATCCTGTCTACAAGTAATGCAGTTAAAAGGGGGGGGGTAAGCGGAGATTGAGGGAACAGCCAACCAATAACTAGCCCAACTTGAGACCCATCCCATGAGCAAGCACCAATTCCCTGACAATTAATGATACTCTGTTATGCTTTCAGATAGGAGTCTAGCATGGCTGCCCTCTGAAAGGTTGCTGACTCAGACAAATGCAGACACTCACAGTCAAACAGTGGATGGAGCTTGGGGACTCCTATGGAAGAGCAGGAGGAAGGACTGGGGCCTCTAAGGGGATAGGAACTCCACAGGAAGACCAAGAGTCAACTAACCTGGACCCTTGGTGCTCTCAGAGTGAACTACCAACCAAAGAACATATACAGGCTAGACCTAGGCCTACTAACACATGTGTAACAGATGTGCAGCTTGGTCTTCAGGTGGGTCCCAAACAACTGGAACAGCAGCTATTCCAAAAGCTGTTGCCTATATGTGGGATATCTTCTTCTAGCTGGACTTTCTTGTCTGGCCTCAGTGGGAGAAGATTCACCCAGCCTTGCAGAGACTTGATGTGCCAGGGAAGGGAGGATACCTGTGAGGCTCTCATCCTCTCAGAGGAGAAGGGAAGGGGAGATGGGAGAAGGATTGTGGGACAGGTTACCAGGAGGAGACAGTGAGTGGAATGTAAAGTGAATAAGTAAAATAAAGAAATAAGGGAAGGGGAGGGGGAGGGGAGGGGGAGGGGAGGGGAGGGGGAGGGAGAGGGAGAGAGAACGAGCTGATTGTCAGCATTCATCTCCCCTTGTCTCCTGACCTACTGATGCAAAGTGGCTGGCTGCCTACAGTTTCTTCTGCTGTGACTCCCGGCCATGCAAGTCTATACTTTAAACCATGAGCCAAACTAACCTCTTCCTGCCTTAAGCTGCTTTTGTCATGTACCTTGTTATAGCAGTGAATACAAGTAACTGATGCAGGGAGGAAAGATTTAGTTTATGTTACAGTCCATGTTCACTTGGGTCTCTTGTTTCTGGAGCGTGGGGAATCATAACAAGGAACATAGAGTAAAAGCAAAGCTGCTCACCTCGCGGCAGCCAGGAAGCAGACAAAGCTGAGATGGTGGGATGGTGGGATGGATAAGAGAAACCCTTGACATATTCTCAGCAGCTTCTTTCCTTCTGCCAGGTTGCACTTCCTAATAGCTTATTCAGCTTGGAACTCGTCAATGGATTAAGTTCTTGGAGAACTTACACCTGTTTTGTCTCTCAACACTACCCAGTCTTCTGCATATAAACCTTTGGAGCCATTTTATACTCAAATGATAACACAGGGAATACACACATAAGGTACCAAGCCTGACTTAGGATATACTGACTGGAAGTCACAAAGCATCTGTATAATCAGTCTTATAAGGTAGCATGCATTACATCAAGCCTGTTATATAAGCAGGATACTAGGCACCACATGGTAGCTGAGTCACAATTGTTAACAGCAGAGATTTCACCATCCATAAGAGTCATTTTCCACTTAGCCAATGAACCTCGGGATACTAGAGCATTCAGAAACCACATAACTAAATGAAAGAAGGGATGGCTAAGAAAGGTCTGGTAATAACGTCAGAAGTAATAAAACCAGATGACACACCTAAATGGCAGGAAGGAGACTGCAGAAATGATGCTTCACAATGATGAAGGGAAAGGCTTGTATCAGATTCTACTTAATATTTTTTGAAATGCTGCTGTACTTATTAGCCAATATAATTTAACAACTAGAAAAACAGAGACAGGCACTCTTTTCCTCTTTGCAGAAAACAACAGAAGAGTTAGTTTTAAGGTTGGTGACTAGAATGCCGAGACAGTGGGTTGTTATGGCATACACCCCTAACTCTAGGGGTACAGGGAGGTCTATGGTAGGCTCCTTCTGCCTTGCTATGTCACTTCTTAGCATGCACGTTCTGTCCTTCACTGGGAAGAGGCCTATGCATTAATCTAATCAAACATAAAGATAACAAATACATTTCACAGAACATTTTAAGGTCAAGCTAGACCACTTGTGAAACCCATGGAGATCTTATGTTTTAAGTTCTATGGTTATTGGAAGAGATGCAATTAGTATACACAGTATTTTTTTAAAACTAAATCAAGTTTAACTACACAGTACTAACTTTTTTTAAAAAAAATCAAAGCTGTAAGTAAAACTTAGTCACATTGCTCTGTGAATCAAACAGGACAGAAAATATATAAAATTAAGATAATATTACACCACATGTCTATAAGGAGCAAAACTAAATGGTTTAATGAAAATGATACTGTGATTCTGGTAAAGGCAAACAAGCAGGGAGGCAGTGAGACGGCTCAGCAGGTAGTTGCTTGGCTTGGAACAAAGCCTGACGAACTGAGTCCATACTTAAGACTCAGATGATGGAGAGAGAATTAACTCCCATGTGTTTTCCTCTGTGCGTACGCACACAAACACATACACACACGCACACGCACACACAGAGTGAAGAAAATCAGTCAGGTTTAACATGAGAAAGGACAAATAAGGATGTGAGAAGAGGAATACAAGAGGAAAAACAGACCCCAAACTCCATTTGCCTTTTCTCCTCTAAAAGTCAACAGGCCCATTAAACGTAAGAGGGTCGGTATTCCACGAGGGCACTGTTCTCTAAGGAGCATGTTTAGAATGGAGATGGGGCTCAGTCAAGTCTAACTAAAACTGGGCTATCATGATGGCCTAACAGGTAAAGCCGATTGCTATTAGGCTCCTTTCTGGCCTCCTGAGGTACTACACCAACTTGGTGCCCCAACATTTACGCACATGGTAAAATTCTCATGCACATAAGTAAGTCAATAAACCAAGATGTAAGCCCATCCCTTTAACTCTAACCCCCACCATATACACACAACCTGCTCTTCCTGTAACCTCGTCATCTCTAGAAAGGAAACTGACAACCTTCTATCTCTCAGAACAAATCCTTGTGGTCATCCTAACTCCTGCTTCTCTCTTACCCTCTATCAGCTTTCCCAGTTTGATCTTAAAACTATATCCAGAATCTGTTCCCTACTCCACATCTTCACTAATACTTTCGACTAAATCACCTCTTTAAATCACTGAATAGCCTCCTACCTCACCTACAGAGTTCTATACTTGCTCGCTCGCTCTGTTTTGTTCCCATAAAGTTACTATAATAGGATTTGAAACGTGTAAAAGCTAGGCACACTGTAAAATGAATTCCTGCATGTGCATCACTCACATCCAGGAGCTGCCCACTTGCTCTGTTTCTCTATTTTTCCCATTCGAAAACTTTCTGCAACATTTTGAATAGAGCTTGTAAACATCTCTACTTCCACAACCTTCACAACGTTTGTTAAGTAGAGCTTTGTTCTTATCTATTTATAATGGCCAAAGTCAGGAAAGCTAATACTGCTATAACAACACTATCAGTTTAATCAATAATCCTACCAATAGGTGATAAGCATAAGCTTCATTTACTTTTATTCTTCACCAGGCTTTGTTTGTGGGGTGGAACTTTTGTCTAGTTTGCTGCTATATCATGTCCAGGACAGTGCCTGGTTTTTGGATTGTGATTATGAAATTCCTGTCAATAATGATAAGCTGTATCTCACCTAAAGATATGAGGGGGTCTGTAGGAACAGTGGTGATGTAAAACACCAAGACTCACACCCAGGAGAGCTGGCATGTTTATTTGCTAAGAGAAAAAAAAAGTAAGAAGTGATTCTGCAGCCTAGATTCCTGACTAAACCAAGGCAGACACACTCTACTTGGTGATTGTAGCAGATTTTGTGGGTACAGATTTATTACTATGTGATAAACATTCTAACTAACTGAAGCATATTTCAAGCTATCTACAAGAAAAAACTAGGCAAAGCGGAGAAAACAAACCTGACTCACGGGGATCTCATGTGGGATAAGAGAGTGCCAGGAAATCAGCTGAATCTCCTGACATTTGAGGGTTGCCACAACAATGATGAGAAACCTCGCTTTCAGAGTTCAGAACGGTATTGAGGCTGAGAATGTGCTTACCATATGTGAGGCTCTTACTTTGATCCCTTGAGCCAAAGAACGAATTTTCTGAAAATTGTAAAATTCTTTAAGTATTATAAAATTTTTCAGAGATCAATTTTAGAGTCTAGCAGTCCCTGGGATTCCCTCACTGGCTAGTGCGTCTCAGGCTGTACTGAGTGGTGTCAGCATTGCACTGCAGTGCTTGGAAACTCGAAAAATCAAGTACTACTGGTAGATATTGCTCAGCTTAGAGGAAAATGTACTGTCAGATGGAATTTTCTAAATATTAAGCTTTAAACATTGGATATTCATTACTGTTTTATAGTAGTATCAGGCATAATATAGCATATTATGTACTAATTCACTGTTATTTTATACTTAATATACTAATATTTTAGTGTCAACTAACTAAAGTTGAAAGATGGCCTTAGAAAAATTATAGAACTTCTCTAAACCTCAGTTTTACCAACTGCAATAAAGTTTATAACAAGACATACTCAAAAAGTTGTTAAGATAAATTTTGTTAATAAATCAAAAGTAGCTAATCAATACCTTGTCAGGAGACAGCACATGATTAACTCTGGTTCTTATTACAAGTACTATTATTATTAAAAGAGTATAATGACTTCTATGGGTACTTCCATTGAAGTAATTATAAAATTCTATCACACTTTGGACCAAAAATGTACACTGGTTGCAAAGAGAAAATCATAGCCTCTCTCGAGTCAGCCTCCTGTCGACCCTATGAACTGTCTGAGGATTCCCACGTCATCCTATGCCCAGCCCCTCCGTGTATGCTTAAGAAGCTAGTGCGTTCCCAGTGCACTCACCCTTCCACATTACATCATTTAGTATTCTCAGCATCATTTTATCTTGAAAGTGCTTTATTTTCCATTCTCTGCCGTCAAATGTTAAGGCTCTGTGGGTTATATGAGACGCTCTGCAGAGTTATACACACACAACTGATGTCCTGTCTTATATTTTTAATTGCTATCATACAGATTGCTTTTCCAGCTCATAGTTATTTTAGTTTGTCTGTTACTCTGCTGAGTGACATTAGGGAAATCACTTACTGCTATACAACTAAACTTTGACTCTCTCACCTATAAAACAGAATACCTGTCCTTGCTTTGTCACAGGAGCATGATGAGATTCCAAAGACAATTTTAAAACAAACTATATAATCCATGTATAAATGTGAGACTTTAATATTAAATTGAATAGTCCAGACAATCTGAGACAAATTGGTCAAATACTTGTAATTATTTACAAGTTCTTATTCTCTTTAAATTATCCACGACACAGCAAAGAATAGATTTTCTTATCTAACAAGAGCCATGAAATGACAATACAAGTTCCTACCAACCTTGCCATTTGCTTGTAAGCTTCTTCAGCTACTGCAAAGATGTGAGGATCCATGTCACCCATGTTCTGGCCACTGTAGGCATTAATAATATCTTCTCCATAGATAGGCAGCTGTTCATAGGGATTTATAGCTACTAGAACTATTCCTGGGGGAGGAGGGGGAGAAAGAAAATGAAATCAATGGTCTCCTAATGGGTTTGGTAAAGTAAGGCAGCATAAAACCTTGTCTCAACTTAGTTCACATTAAACTCATAAATTGCTCAAAGGTCAAAATACACTACAGTCTTAGGTATTCTAAATTATTTTACATAGTCCTAACTGATCTGGACTAGACTGTTTAAAATAATGTGACTTAGACAGGGGTAGAGCACTTGTCAATCATTTGTGAAGCTCTGGGTTTGATCTCCATGTAGCAAAAAAAAAAAATGTTTTAAATAATTTAAATATTTTCATACTTAGTAAAAAAAAAAAAATGGGGGTTGAAGAGACAGCTCAGGGGTAAGGAGCACTTGCTGATCTTGCAGAGACCGTGAGTTCAGTTCCCAGCACTAATGTTGGGCAACTCACAATTGCCTGTAACTACAACTCCGAGGAATCAGACCATCTTCTAGACTTTGTGAGTACCCACAGGCATGTATATACAACCACCACCCCTGATAAAAATAAAAAATTCAAAAGCTCATGTCTAAAAATTTATTCAATGAAATAATCAGAGATTCATCTGAAGGATTTTCTTTTAGGAAGATATCACACTGATAGTCATACGGAGAACAGAAACAAACAAGATATATATACTAAAATCATTCTACTTAAGCATTGTGCCACATTACAAAATACATGTTCATGCTGGGCGGTGGTGGCGCACGCCTTTAATCCCAGCACTTGGGAGGCAGAGGCAGGCGGATCTCTGAGTTCAAGAGTTCGAGGCTAGCCTGGTCTACAGAGTGAGTTCCAGGATAGCCAGGGCTACACAGAGAAACCCTGTCTCGAAAACAAACAAACAAACAAAAAAACCAAAATACATGCTTTCGAAGAATATTAAATGTCAAAAGAAAGTGGAGACAGGTGGAGGATCAGGAGTTCAAGGTCATTCTCAGTTACATAATGAGTTCCAAGACAGTCTGTACTACATGAGACACTGGACTCAAAAGAAACAAATCATAGAAAATAGAACATGTGCAAAATTAATTAATTAATTAATTAATTAATGGTATGACAAGATGACTCAGTGGTTAAGAGCACTGCTCTTGCAGAGGACCAGGTTTGGTTCCCAGCATCACATGGTGATTCACAGCCATCTGAAACCCTAACCTGGCACACTACACATGTGGTGTATACACATACATGCAGCCAAAACACTTATACACATAAAATAAATCTAAAAATATAAATTGAAGAAAAATATTTAAATAATAGGGATAAGAAATGTTATCAAGACAGGTACATTAGATATAAATTCTTCTGAGAGGAAAAAGTGTATCTGTTTAAACAGACAATGTGAAGACATGACAATCACAACATGGTCAGCAAGCCAGTGAACACATGGGAATGAATGAACATCCAGATGACATCTCAGGAGAGTCATGATTAGTAGGAGAGAGAGAAGATCATGAGGGAAAAGGAGCCAGAGAGGCAGGAGGAAATCACTGAGAACAAAATAGAACAGAGAAAAACAAAGACAGATTCCCATCTGTCTGGGAGAAGGTCCACAGCCACATGCCCAGGCTCCAGCTTCATTTCTGAGAAAACAGTCAGGAACTGGGCTGCTGGCAGCTAACACTGCAGGAGAGAGACAGACACCATGAGGTGTCTGTCCTTGGTGACTAAGTCAGTGAGAAGAAAGGGAGCACTAACTCTGCACCTGCACCAAATGCCAGTCTTTGGTCATCTACTCTTCACAGAGCATATTTTTACAAAATAAAAAGAACTAGCAACTTCAGCACTAAATCTGAAATGACTGGGAGGGAGTGTCCCAAAGATGGACCTGTTCTTTAAATGTTGAGCAAAATTATGTATATTCACAAATGACTGTATTTGGCAAGAAATATAACCAGCTAGCGAACACTGGTAAATCTTTCTGATTACTTAGAAGGGATTTTTGCATGTATGAGAAATTCAATCACAGCTGGCTTTCTGTGTATGCATTTCAATCACTACACCCATCAAAGGAAATCTTACAGCTCATCAGCAAAACACTTACCACAATACGTATAAATGAGTTTAGAATCGATGAAGCGAACTCGGAGATTATGTAGCACAGCGGGCTCGTGAAGATAGCTGAGAGCTGTGAGGTCATTTTCTCCAACAAGTATGTCAGGGTTCCGTAAGTGAGGGAGCTCATTGGTCTTTGGATCTAGACGATATTCCAAATCCTGAGGACAGAGATGCAATAACTGTGTCAGTAATGACAAACACGAAACACTTGATTATTATGACTATGCACTTGATTATTTCCTAGTTCTGATTTGGCTCTTGGCTTTAGAATATATTTATTTCCTGTCATTTTTCCATTATCAGAAAAACTGGTAAAAATGGCAAACAAGAAAGAATGGCTTCCTTTTCATCAGAATAAATCTGCATGAATAATTTAAGATTTATTTTCATATTTAATTATATGTGTACATGTGTGTACTATGTGTGGGTACAAGATGAAATTGTCTAGAGAGGACATTGGATTCCCTGGACTTGGAATTAACAGGCATAAACTAGCAGATGCAGGGAACTGATCTCTGATCATCTGGAAGAACAATACACACTCTTAATCACTGAGCCATCTCTCTAGCCCCAATGTAAATAATTTTTGTTATTATAGTTGAAGAAGTCAGAGCCTAGAGATTTTTACCCAGAAAACTACAGCCATTAGATGAGCTTTCAGTCCCTTCTTCATCTTATGTATGGGAAGTGATAGACAGTATAAAGCAGGTTAGGAATCAGTTCTAGAATCAGACTGGCCTAGGTTCAACTCCTAACACTGGCACTTAACTCTTATTTGCTTTGTGTACATTATTTAAATTAAATCAATCATTTCTAAGATGGTATAACAAAAATATCTCAAAGGTATGCTTAAAATTTAAAGAAGCAATGCTCTAAGATTTCTGGAACCCCAAGAAATTACATACTACATTGTGTATACATATTTGAGAAGAATAATTCATACTTTTCATTAGACTTTAGTGAGGTGACTGGCCCAAAACACTGAGAAGTAGCATGTGGGCTGGTGTAATGGCTCAGGAGGTAAAGGTTTTTGTAGCCAAAAGGATGACCTAAGTGATCCTATGTAGTGAAAGGAAAGAATCAACCCCTGAAGTTGTCCTCTGACCTCCACAAATGCAAGCATATTAAATGTCAAGATACATTTAGGAAGTACCATGCATTATAAAATCGTATGTAATGGAGCTTTTTGACATTCCCAATTATGAAAGCTGCCACTCAACCATAAATTAAGGACAACTAGCATAGGACAAGTGAAAGGGAAAACAATAAGTTCAATTAAAACAGAACATGCTAGTTTATCACCACTGAAGATGTACAGAGAGGTTAAGAATTCAAATCATGTATGAATGGATGACCACTCAGGAGAGACAGGATGCTGCCCCTCTGTTTGCTTCTCAAGGGATGATGTCCTTAATACACAACTACCTGTTTCCTTACTGTTCCAATCGGACTGCTTTAAATTCCCCGTACTACATTCTGCTTGCCTGCCTACCTACAATGTAATGTTTGGGGTCAGGAACCTCATTGGCCTTTTCTGTTTTTTCTCCAAATGGTGTGACATATGGACTGACAGCAAGTCCTGAAGGACGTGGAGCTTTAGAAATGCTCATGATCATCATGTTTGATTGATAATACAACTCATCATATGGCTCCAGAACAGCAAAAGGGCATTCCAGAATGTTCTTCTGAGACTTCATGGGGGGATGAAGCAGTTAGGTGGTCAGTGTGGGAAGAAAATAAAACTGGGATATTAGAGAAAACACTAATAAGGCAAGAGTCATCTAAAAAAGTTACAAAAATTTTCTCTTGGAATGGATATAATCTGCTTCTCTGAAATGGTTAGTTATGATCAAGTAAATATACACTTCTAATATTGCAAAGACCAAGCTTTTTAAATTTTATTCTAGGACCTGAAATCCTTTATCTCCTAAAATGAGAAATGGTTTGTTGCAGGGAGAATTTCTCTATTTTTCTCATCTATATCCTGTTTTTAGAATTGATCTTCTTCCTTCTCCTCTTTCTCCTCTTCTTCCTCCTCCTCCTCTTGCTCTTCCTCCTCTTCTTCCTCCTCTTCCTCCTCCTCTTCTTCTTTTTCTTTTTAAACATAGAACTTCGTGTAACCAAGGATGGGCATAAAAAGTTCAGGATAACTTAAATTCCTGACTCTCCACTCTACTTCCCAAGTGCTGGCATTGTAGTGTGCATGACTACATCAGGCTGATGACTTGCTTTTGTTAGAAACATTGATTTCAGGAAAATCTATCTGATGCCGCTGAACCTTGGTTTCCTTATTTGACAAACAGTAAAATTATCACCTACCGACCCATAAAGCTGTCATAGAGCTGTGAACTGACATTAAAAAATACAGCCCAAGGCCAGGCGGTGGTGGCGCACGCCTTTAATCCCAGCACTTGGGAGGCAGAGGCAGGCAGATTTCTGAGTTCGAGGCCAGCCTGGTCTACAGAGTGAGTTCCAGGACAGCCAGGGCTACACAGAGAAACCCTGTCTCGAAAAACCAAAAAAAAAAAAAAAGAGGGCAATAGAGATGTGCCATGCCATTTAGGGCTAAGCCCTCAATACTGGGACTAGAAGTTTTTCAAAGAAAATTAATGTTACATAGTTTTGTTCAAGAAAAAGTGTGGCATGCCCTGCCAAATACAGTGGGCAGGTTAAAAACTGTGGGACAAAGGTGAGTTCACTCATGCAGAATGCAGCCAGTCAGAGACAGAGCTGGTGGTAAGGCCTTCTGCTGACCAGTAAGATACTTCATATGTATTAGCTTCTTAGTAAATATTTTTCAAATAATTAAGTTTCAGCAAAATATCAAATCTTAGACTGGTACTTAGTTAATATGAAATAAGTGCAACACTGTCCCAAACATAAAATATGAACACACAACCACATCTTTAGTATTAAAATTAGATATTAAGCCAAATTTCATAATCATAATAAATGTATAAGATAACATGATTGTGCTTTAAAGCATGCACTGTTCTCATGAGCCTCTCTATAGGGTAGAAAAATTACCATTTTTATCAAAATAGTAAAAACAATATTAAATTAATACAAAATGTATGTTATACTTGGCATTAAGCAAATTATAATAAAATTCTATCTCTCACTCTCCTTCACTTCAGACTAAATTCAAGAAATGAAGATGAAGTTCTTACCTTCCCTTCCTCAAGGTGAAGCAGGAGCACTTTATCTCCGGGCTTATAATCCTTGAGCAACTCTGCAGATTTCCACACTTCCTCAGGATCAGGTATCCAAACCCTGGCAAACTAGAAGACAAAAAGCAAAGAAATTTAAGCTAGCAAATCAAACACTTAATAATCATATATAAAGCATAGCATATCATAACTTTATTTATAATTAATTTACTAAATGGTCATCTTAGACCAGGCCCGGCAGTGCTTGTCTATAATGCCAGCACTGGAGGGAAAGGGATTCAAGGTCAGTCTCAGCTGTACAGTGAGTGAGCGGGCGGTCAGCCTGGGACCCTGTAACAAAACAACACAACAACAACAGCAACAAGAGCAGCAACTACAACAACAGAAAGGACTCTGGGCTACAAGAAATTTTCTTTTCTTTTTCTTTGTTTGTTTGAGACAGCATCGTCCAGGGTGGCCTTGACCTCACAGTCCTCCTGCTTAGGCCTCCTGAGTATTGTGATTACAGGTATACACCATGCCTGCATGACACTTAACTTTTAAAATTAGAATAGAAAAGTAGGTTAGCCCCAGTACCACCACCATTCCCAGATTACATAAATAATATGCTCTGAAAAAATAACTAAAATTAAAACCCGACTTTGCTTTATATAGTGAATGTAATTTGGGGTAAAAATTTACATATAACATCTATTTTCAAAGTTCTCAGGTGGTAATTCAACAGCATAGCCATCTCTTTATGGTAGCATTCGCAAGTGAAATCTTTCATGTGGTTTCATCATCTGCAAAGCCTTGCTGACTTCTCAGAAAGCCTGCAGGAAACATTCTGGTGGGGAGAGGAGACATAAGCTAGCAGCCTAATGCTACAGATGATTTATAGGCTACATTTCTACTATTTTCTTTGAAAAGAGTTTCGTTGCTAATTTTAAAAGTTGAAGAAAATTGCTATTTAAAATTTGAACACATTTTATGAAGATTAATGGAAAATTGTATTTGGCTAGCAATACATCTGGCTCAAGTAACCTCAATACTATGGGAATACAAAGAATACAGCCTTAAAACTATAATCTCAACTAGTTCTCTGGATCTAAACTAGATAGGGAGTTTTGAGGAAAAGTAAAAAATATAATAATATGCATGAATCTTACTAACACTGCAGCAAAGCCACGTGCAATGTCTGCTTGGACTCTCCAAGAAGGAATCGCCCTTTAAACTGTAAATACAGAGCTGACAAAATGATGTAGTAGGTAAGGCGCTAAGCCAGAAGACATGAGTTTAATCCCTGGAACCCACATGGTAGAACAAAAGAAACAATTCCTGCAAGTTGCCCTGACTTCGACTTGGCATGAGTTTCCTCCGACCCCCAATATACACGCATACACACAAAGTGTATAAATAAATAAATAAATAAATAAATAAATAAAACTAAAGTGAGTCTTAGGTCCTAGTGTTGTCCCCATCAATAGATAATATTGTGGGATATTGTTGGCCCCATCAATAGATAATATTGTGGGATAAGCTAGATCTAGCTGACTATGGGAGACATACTGATATGCACCAGACTAAATCTCATCTCTGACCAACACTTATATTCTCATTTCATGTAAAATCACCTTCAGATCAATTTGCTCTCACTCTCTTTCTTTTTTGTTTGTTTGTTTATTTATTTACACTTCCCCACCCCACTCCCATCCACCCTCTGACTGTTCCACATCCCATACCTCCAACCCACCCTGTCTCCTTGAGGCTGTTCTCACTCCCTACCCCCACTCCCTCTCCCCCCCCCTCCCTCTCTCTCTCTCTCTCTCTCTCCCCTAAACCAACACTAGGCAAAATGAGCTACACTTTTAGTCCCTAATCCCCTCTTTCCCCCTTGGAAACAGGGTCTAAGATGGTCTTAACTTGCTATAGAGACCAGGCAAATCTTGATCTTGTGAAATTCCTCTGCTGCAGTTAACCAAGCATCTAGAAGTACAGGTATAGACCACCATGCTCAGCTAGACTTGAACTGTGTATGTGTGCACACACATGTGCATATGTGTAAGTGTGTAAATCAAGGGGTGATATTAGGTATCTTCCTCGATTGCTTTCCATCTTTTGCTATGAGACATGGTCTCTAGCTGATTCTGGAATTCACTAATTCATCAAGACTAACTGACTAACAAGCTCTGGGGATCTATCTGCTTGTCTCTGCCTCTCTAGAGCTAGGATCACAGGAATGTCCTAAAGATTTGTATGTAAGTGCTAGAGATCTGAATTCAGGTCCTTATGCTTGTATGACCAGCACTTTACTAACTCAGCCATCTCCCTGACCCTGGGTGTCATTGTTAATAGTGACCAAAGTGTAATCTACTTGACCTCTGAATATTAATATTTTGTAATTTTCTCTGAAATGATCTACAAGTTCCATACACAGGTGATATTCAAAGTCTTGAAATGACCTAATAGCTTCTTAACTGACGAAAACACAGCAAATTTAAACAAATCAAGTAAGCCTGTAGAGAAATAACTGGCCTTGCCTAACTAGAAGGAGATTTTAAAGAAGTACCTTCATGTTAGCAACTCAGATATCCACAGGGCTTTGCAATGAGTACTTGTCAAAGCGGCACTCCCCATGGCATTAACACACTCAGTAGAAGGAGGCTAATGCCCTCACCTACACCTGAAGCAAGATATTCATACAAGTTTCTCTGATAACCACCTTATCTCACTACTACAGCTAAAGAAAGTATCCAAGGAAAAAGAGAAACAGCTATGGATCCTGTATATTCTTACTATTGCCTCCTAATGCTTCTTCTCCAAATTAGTTAGAACCAAACTTTCATCCTAACATAACATGCCTCTGTTACTGCTACTTTCTACTCCTTCCCCAGGAGCCAATGCAAATGCAATGAAAACTCAAAGGAACAGGACTAAACTCATCCAGTTATATCCCATACATAGCTCAAGAGAAACAAGACAAAAAGACAAGGCCTCTAGATCACAGGGAAAAATCCAATACAACAGAGCAGTGAGAATCCAGCAGCCATTATAAACAGGGCAGACACCTGCTAAGTCTACCTTCAACATTAGACTATTTACTCCTTCAATGTCATCTTCAAATACCTTGATGGCTCCTTGAGCCAGTTGATGGGCAACACACATATTGATTTTATTTAAGATCAAAGGACTTTTATTTAAGATGAAAAGGCTGGGATGAGAGGCAGGAAAAGGTAACTCTAAAGTTTTAACTCATTCTGGAGCCACATTAGGGTGTAAAGCCACAAAGCATGCTTGAGATGGGACATAAGTTAAGTACTCAAAGTAGAGAGATTCATAACGTGGTAAGCAAGAAAGTAAACAATGATAGGAACTGGTAGGAGAGGAAAAACAGGGGTTTGGGATTTGAGATACAAACTATGAATAAAGCAAAACAACAATTTAAAAGTCCATAACAAATCTGTAGAAGATGAAGGAATGAGGAAAAAGCTTAAAAAGGGTCAAATTAAAATACAGACTCCAAGGGTTTGGTTCAGTGATAGAGTACTTGCCTAGCATGCATAACACCCTGGGTTCAATCCCAAGCACTGTAAGGTAAATAAGTATTTTTTAAAAAATAAAATAGAAAATATAAACACATCAGAACTATGATAATTGGATTCACTTGAACTTAAATAAGTACTACGACTGAAATAAGATATGAGATTAGGGATAAAACTTTGTAATTCACAAAATCTGAAAAAAATGTTAGCAGAGATTCAAGTTGCATAATAAAGCTTGCAAAGAAAGTAAAAGTTGTCTGTAATTATCACAATAAAACTTAATTGACCTCCCTGGCAGTAATGAGATAAATCTGACAGTCTAATGCAAGTGTGAAGGAAAGGCAGGTTCCAGGGACATGCTTGTTCCGGTATGCACTAGATAGGGGCACTAGACCATGCTACCTCATACAGCATAAAACCCTTGCACTTTCTAGGGAGGTACATCTCTCCTTGCTTAATAAGGAAGCACCAGTCATCTTTTTTGTTTCCTGCCATAATGACAATACTGAAGAAATCCTTGATTAGTGCAAATGACTCACTGAAGTTGTGCTAACTTGCATTTTGTCAGTCAAGGAAGCCTGAAGTAGGAACACCAAAAGCAGCTGTGTTTCTGGTGCCTTAGACATTCGGGAACAAAAATCAACAGCATTACCAAGAACTAGCCAACCCTTGAAACCCAACAAACCTGACCCACATGATCTTCTCTTTCCCCCTAAATTCTTTCATATGCTGAAACATAGTATGTGAGCATCTTCCTACATTCCACATTAAATCATCAGTATCTGACTTATGTTGGTGCATTTATCCATTGTCAATGACTGCAAAATGATTTTGTACCATTTCAAAAAAATCTAGTGTGAAGTGCTCATCTCTGAGCATGAGCTGAAAACAGAAATCATCACTAGTACTCACTCCTCTGAACCTGACAAATCAATGAGATTCTACATGACTACTCATAATTATGAAATAATTATGAGATGAAATAATGAAATTATGAAATAATTATGGGATGAAATATTCAGGAGCTGTTAGTTTTCCAAAGTAAACAGGTAAATATAAAAAACAAACAAACAAACTAGGAAATCTTGAAAAATGTCACTTAATAATTGTATATGTAATTTTAAAACATTATGAGATATCTCATACAAGCAAGAGAAGATAAATGTATGTATAAGTGTGTGTAAAACAAAAGACTGATACAATGAATCGTCATACAGCTAGAAACAGAGTAGCAGTAACTGCATTGAAGCCCTCAACAGAACAGCTTCCTCAGCACTCCCCTGCTGCTCCTCCACTGTTCTCCAGTCCAGAGGCTGGGTTTGCTGTACCCTGAAGAGCCATGCTCGGTCACATGTCTATGCCTTTGCTTCAGCGATTCCTCCATTTGGATCACCATTCCTCTATTTCCAACCAGTAGGACACCATTTACCCTTCTAACCTGTCTTCAATGCCTTTCCTTACCCGTCACTTGGCACTCAGTTCTCAATGTCTCCTTATCTCATACAGCCTTCTACTAGGCTTCATACTGCTTCATACTTGATGAATTAGCCCAATCTAGAGACTGTAAACTCCTTGAAAGGCAGTGTGTGT